TCGGAGTTGTTTCCTTCGACGTTTTTAATACTATTAAAACTTTGAATAATTTGTTTAGTTAAAAAAGAATGAGTAATAATAAAGGTAATTGGCTGCGAGTTTGTTACTTCCAGGGGTGGTGGGCTGTTATGAGACTGCAGATTCCTGACTCTCCTTAGGCTATTACAGGGACAGACATACAAAAATATGTAGATTTTCTTTGAAAATATTTTAGTAATTGTTGAAAGCAGTCATAATTCCACATAAGCTTGAGACTATACTCTATTACGTGTCCAGTGTGTTATATTTCTTCATGTATGAAAATTGAGAAAAATTTTAATAAAAAAAAACCTACTAATTTGGTGACATTTGAGTATTGACCGTCAGGTAGAGAGATACCTATTTGGAAATAGACTGAATATAATATCAAGTTGCATTTCTAAATGAATGATAAAAACTCCCTTGTGTTGGTGAATTGTCAAAATTTTGTCAGTCTCCTTCATTTTTAAATATTTCATATTTATTTAACCTTTTGCATTTTATAGGTTGCAGTTTATCATCTGAACAGGGTACTCTATGAAAATGAGAGAAATGAATACATGTAATCTTAGTTTTGATTTGTATTTTATCGTAAATATATCGAGTGTGATAGACTCGTTACCTGTTCCATCAAATAGATGGGTGCTTGTTACCAAGTGCTGGCATTGTGCTCGGCTCCTGAGAGGAACCAAGGAAATACAGAATGATCCCTCCCCGCAGCGGGAGGTTAATCCGCGGGGCCCAGGAAAAGAATGCTTAATGCCTGCAAGGAAGTTATATTTTTAAAGCAAAGGATATCAAACGGTATAAAAACAAAGCCCTCTACCTTCTTATTTCAGAGCTTTGCCTCTTTTTTTAAATGTTCTTTTTGAAAACAGGGAGGAGAGCGGTTGAATTCTTGGAAAGGAGCACAAAGCTCAAAGGAGAAGGTGAGAGGACTCGGTTCGCAGCTGTGACAGCTAAGCCTGGGTGCTGGGCGCTGAGCGGGGGGCGGGGGGCGCAGGCAGGATTTCAGGATAGAAGACCCTCCAGGGCCCCTCGCTGGTTCCTCCTGGCCCTCCACTCCTTCCCCACAAAGACGGGGAGGGGGGGAGGAGGGAGGGCATTTTCTGGGCGGAGTGTACATTCCGTCCCTCGCTGACATGCCGGGTGGGCTGGCGCACCATCCCCCCAGGGCGCGCGTGAGCCCGGTGCCCG